GCACAACAAGCTGAAATCACTTGCTAACAGTAAATTAGTGGCAGTAGCAAGACAATGGCAAAGGTCTTCCAGATCCCATCCTAGTTTCCTCATCACTTTGCCCTATCCTATGCTCATCATTTTGGCCCTAGACACACAGTACTTCTTTCCAGTGAACAAACATTTGGTTCACTTCCAGCAACCAACTTTCCTATACTTAATCAACCAGTTTATCAGAGCATGAAGGAAAATTGGTCATGACTTCAGTTCCTGTGCTGCTGGAATTAACAAGCTGGCTGTTGCCAACACTAAACTTGGAAGTGCTAATGGTAATTAAAATCTATTTTCAAATGCATCTCACAGTTTTAAGGTGGAGAAGCACTTGTCACTCATGTGAATCGCCAAACTGTTTTTAAGTGCTACTTTCTTCAGGAAGATGTCAGCTGTGGGACAGAAATAATTATTAATGAATTATTAATGCTAGGCGGTATGGCATTTATTCTCCTTTGGTGTGTTTATGGCTAGGTAAGTCTTCTGATATCATTGAGGAAAAAAAGTTGCAAACTAGAATTTAAGCATTTTACTATTTTTGGTTAACTTTCTGGTTGTTGTATAGTTATGATAGAAAAATATAGTGAAACAGTAATAATTTAGCAACTGACATACAATATGGTGCTATTACTGGCTTTATTGCCATTTGGCAGGAGTCCATGCAGGCGTTCAGTCAATTTTCCCTCAGGTGCACTTGGGTGAAATATCTTATTTTAACGAAGTACTCCAACCCCAGGCTCAAGTGGGACTCTGTTCCAAATGGTAATCTTCTTAACAGTTCAACATATTCACACCATACAGTGAAGAAAATAAAGGAAGGGTAATCATACTTTGTTTTTCACTTCATTTTCTGTGCCTGTTTCCAGGCTAATTCAATCTATTGGATCAGTGGGAGGGACAAGGGATAGTTTCAAAACGTTTCCTGTCAGAACAACAGAGGATTTAAATCAATGTTCTTCCACACAAGATGGAAGCATATGGGCCACAGAGTGCAGCCCTCTTCAGAAAAATCCTGTCAAAACAGCACCATGTTTACTAGCTTCTGAGGCATAAATCAGTTTTTACTTGAGCTGACCTTCAAAAATTGACTGCTCAGTAATGTCCTGTCATGCTACCCCAGCAATATTGCCTATTAACACCCTATTACAACTCACACCTATACAACAGCATAGGTGCCACTTTGGCGGTAACACCCTATAGCCCATTTAGGATGATGTGAAGGAGTCCAAGTTACGTTCGCCTGACAGTTGTAACCGAGATCTCATTTTCCCCTTGTAAGAAGGGAGAGCACACGTCTTCAATGGAATACTTTTCAAACAAGTAATGTAGATTCCACTGTGTGAGCTTACTCTTTAATTCACCTACATTTCAGCTCATTTCCAAGGCAAAAGTCCTATCTTCATATATAATCAGATACACACATTTCCTTTAAGTATTTCTTCCACAGAAGGAATATCACCACTTTCCATATGAAAAACTGAGGATTATTTATCTGTCATTTCTTTACGTGCAAGCTGCTGTTGCAGTATATACAAAGTACTTCATTTCTCATATGAAACGTTTTATCTGAAGAGGTTAAAGGTTCAAAATAAGATTTTGAAGAGTTAGAAAAGGCWGGAGCTATGTTTACTTATGCTTTAAAGTTACCTTCAATAAGCATTCACTTGTTTCCGCAGAGGCCTCTGCTTCAGTCAATGCCTGTGCCAGACAGAAGAGTCGTGCCAGGATAGTGCCATAATGAGAATCTGAGGATTTGGGGTTTTCTATTACTGCTTCTGATAACGTTTGCTGCGTTTCATCTTATACAAATTACTTAATCCTTCTGTGCTTCATGTCTCTCGTTGTAAAATAAAGATAACACCATTTTCCACTGACATGGAAAATTGTCTGGGCAAACTTGTATCTTTTGAGCAATTTAATAGTCTGGTGATTGAAGCTACCAGTTCAGGGACTCGATATTGCCCGGTTAGCAGGAGGTGCAGAGACTGAACAGATGATCAGCAGGAATTCCACTGACATAGAGTTAACTATTGACTTATGCTGTTAACATAGGAAAAGAATCGGTCTTTCCTGTACACACTGGACAGCATGCAATGAAAAGGGCCTTCAAATGTGTTACCAAATGCCTAAATAACAAATATAACTTTTAAAATGAATGTATGTATTAAACTCCTTACAGAAGGCTGACTTAAATTTCCATACATAACAATTAAAGTTTAAAAAAGTCACTAGTGACTGTTGGATGCAGAGTACAAAAAACCCTTAAGAAACCCACTCCGCAGAGGTAAAGCCACCCGTTATTTCAAGGAGTCTTGACTGGGATGAGTTACCTTTATATCTGTGCACATGCAAATAAATRTTTAGGTGTGTCCATATGGTACATTTAAATATACTCCCGAGCAAGAATGTTGCATTAGTCACTGAGTTTCAATTTGMATAAATGCTTTGTCAGGATAAAACTATTCAGTGATAAAGCTAATATAAGGATATGCATTCTGAAGCCCTGAGTGAGAATTATGTGAAGTATACACTTTTTGAGTTCTACTTATTTACTCTGCATGCTTGCAGCCTTTTTAAATAGATGTCTCTTTCTCAGCTAAAAAGAAGAAATGATTTCCTGATGGTTTATTGTCTTCAGCATTTCCTTTCTCTATAAAATCTTGGGAAAAATCCTGGAATTTCCTCTTTCTATTAAATATAAAAGAACACTGACAAACTGAGTTTGGAGCAGGTAATGACAGCTCTTACTACTGAAGGAATCAGYGCAGCACTAGTGACACTGATAGGGCAGTTATTCAATACAGAACAAGGTAGATAATTACTATGTCAGAGATACTAATTAGCAGGCTCACACTAAAACAATGAAACACTAATTATTGGATTTTGGTTAGCCTTTTTATTTTAATAACCCCATTTATGAATGTAACAGAAATCAATGCTCAATGCTGAACCCAGTCATGGGCCTTTGGACCATACGCTATGTTCTGAAAGGTAAAATATTGTTTGTCTTGATATTTTTTCTCTGTTCACTTCCACTTTCCATACCTTCCACTTCCACTACAGGGCTAGTTTCAGTGCAATCTGTTCAGATCTGTTGCGCATTTTCACTATTTTTTTAAATAGCATTACAGTTTTGAAGACCATGATAGGAAGTGAAAAATAGCATTCAGTCCCTTTCATTCCTAATTACCATGATGAAAAATAGACAGACAATCACCAAGCAAGAGTTTGAATGTCAACAAAAATAGCAAATGTTTATAGGAAATAATTTGGTGAATTTGGAGGGTATTGTAATTAATCACCATGACTCGGTCATGAATTATAACTTGTTCTGCACTTGGTTACAAATATTTTGATTTAATGCTTTTTATCAGTGAACAAAGTTATTCAATTTTCTTTGTCTATCAAAAGGGATTTGCAAGACATAAACTTTTAAGTATCTCTGATGTTGATCTCTTTCTGTTCTCCCACCCAACTTCTTATGAGTCACTGGATTATTGCTAAATCCCAAGCACACTTTGGTGACTAGCTGCCTTACAAAACAACAGTTGTAGAAAGTGGGAATCATATTGGATTATTAAACTGATGACTGTGAATCTATTTTTTTTTCTGAAAGCCTTTTTATAGTTTACTTAGGCACGACTTTCTCAAGCCATCAGTGAAGGGTGGGTACTGACCCTTCAGGGAAAAGTCCTCTTTAGTTTATATTGTGATAAAGCTTCCATCTGGAGACTGCAAAATGATTTAACTTCTAATGAATCAAGCAYCTATTTGTCATAAAGTAATTCTTCCCTAAAAAAAGTTACTGTCATTCACAGAGCAGCTCTAGATACCGCATGTCTTTTGAAACTTGAAATGCTTTTGGAGACCATTTAATTTATTTTCGAATGGGGGAATTTTACTTCAATAGGGGAAAGGTGTAGGAACAGGGCAAAATGTGGCCTAATAAACATTTGCAAAGTATTGTTTTAAGGGAAGAAAAATACCCCACTTGCAACAGAGGTGCCGTGTGCACCAGGTAGTAGGGGGCTGCTGCAACTGCAGACCACGGTGCTGCTGCAGGTACCCAGCGGGCGCAGGCCGGGCGCTCGGGGCCCTGGGCTCCTAACGGCAGCCTGGGTGCTGTGGGAAGGGCCTCTCYGTCTCACACACACTGCGTGCACTGCAATCCTCACCAACGGTAAGGTAGGGTGGGTCTACAAGCTGAAGCCAGTATGAAGGTTTTTAGGTTAGATTTGACATATGCCAATTTAAATATAAGGTTTTACTTGAAAAAATATTGATGATTTCTGCTTTGGGCTATGCAGAACTGACTGCACTTACGATAAATTTAAGGACATTGACCCAAAATGGCTCCCAGCCCTCTTGTTACACCCCAGCACTCCATCCAATTCTTCTCATGTCTCAYCTAGAAATAAGTATCTTACTCTGTCAGACTGTAGGCCTTGTTATTTTAAAACTTTCAAATGTCCTGCCTCCTCAATCGCTTTCACTTTCATTTTAATAGCAGAGATACTGAACTATTGAAAAAATGTATTTTCAATTTCCCTCTGGTGTAACTCTTGTATTGCAGGGGACAGTGGCCTTTCAAGCTGTACTGTGACTCTATTGCCTTGGCTGTTAAAATCCCCAGCAACTGCCACCCTGCAATTTAAAGCAGTGCAGCAAAAAAACACAAATATTTTATACATTTATGTCATCCAAGGCAGCTATGGGGAATGAATGGTAAGGTGAAAAAGTCTGTTCAAAAATTCAAACAGAACTGAAGAGTATGGTTTTCAAAACATCAAATAATTTTGCTAAGTTTTGCAAAGTTATTTTTTAATTTCTCTGAAGACAGAGTACAATGCCAAACACTGTGTAACCAAGATATCAGCACAAGAAAAAAGATCTCAGTGTATAAATTGTCTTTTATTAGCTTAACACCTGCAAAACAAACCCCCTTGCTTAACCCTTGAAACGCACTCAAAACCCATCTGCTAGCACACAAGACTGCTGAACTCCACTTTACAATGTTTTTTACCTAAACAGTCCTCAAAAAACAAAGGAAAATAATAAGACGAGAGGTATGAAAGCCTAACGCCAGAGAGAAGCAGGAAGAGGAAGGCTGCTCCATGGCATGAGACACTGGTGGTACAAAGAGCCTCCTTAAACACTGCTGCTGTTTCTGGATTTTGGTGCATGTTTATTACTGTTCCTTGGGTTTTTCCACCATTTGACCTTGTCTTTGGTAATGGGAAGTAATCTGAACAAGTACAAAGGTATTAATAAAAAGGAAAAGCAAGCCTGCCATCCATATCAGTAAGAAAGTGTTGCATCCTTTGAACTCCAGGAAGTAGGCAGGAGCGAGCCACAGGCCTTGTCCGAGGAACCACAGGGAGAGCAGCAGCGCCCCGCGCTGCCAGGACATCCTGACCTTGGGGATTACRAGGGGCAACAGGCAGAGATACCAGACAAAATACTGGGAGGTGCACACTTTGTTAAAGCTCACGAAAATGGCGGTGTGGAGGAAACAGCAGAAAGCAAGGTCTCTGTAAAATGCTACGGAAACAACCAGGAGCAGCAGCAGCTGGGGCAGGAAGGCTGCGAGCCCAAGGGCAAAACTCCATCTGCTCTCTGCAGTTAAATACAACATGTAGAAATAGGGAGAGAAGTTGTGCCGGGTGTCCCTCCTGGTCAGGTGGTAGAGGTAGGCGTGCTCCAAAAACTCCCAGCCGTAGAGGCAGTAGAAGGCGACCGTGAGGCTGCCCAGCACYGATCCTGCGACGGCTCCGAACAGCAGCACGTCGCGGCTTGTCGAGAGTTGCGAGAGCTGCGGGAGCAGGGGGAGCCTCCCTTTTGCAGGGCGCCCCGCGGGCAGGGCCGYGCTGCYGCYGGGCCGCCTGCCCTGCAGGTGCAGCGCGAGGGGCAGCGCGTAGGTCAGCGGGTAGATTTTCATGTGCACGGCRAGCCCGTAGCAGGCGGCGGCCCTGGCCACGCGGCCGCCCTCCGCGTAGTACAGGGTGGCCAGCACCAGYAGGGCCACGAGGGCCTCGGCGTTGCCCCGCGTGGACACGGCCATGGGCAGCGGGTTGAAGAGCCAGGCGGCGGCGCAGCAGGCGCAGGCCGGGCCGGCGGCCACGCCGCGCTGCAGCAGAGCCCCGTAGGCCACGGCGGCGGCCGCCAGGTCGGCGGCCACGAAGAGCAGCTTCCCGAAGGGCTCGGCCAGGCGGGCGTTGGGCGTGAGGAGCCAGGCGAGCAGCGGCGTGTAGCGGTAGGTGGCCCGCGCGTAGGGCGAGCGCCCGGCCGCCACGAGCCGCGCCGCGTCCGTGAACACGCCGTAGTCGAGGTCGGTGTAGCGCACGCGGAGCGCCGCGTCCTGCCGCGCCGCGCACAGCAGCAGCGCCAGCCGCGCCGCCAGCGCCGCGCACAGCGCCGCGCGCAGCCCCGCGCGCCGCGACACCCACACCGACACGGCCACGGGCGCCGCCATCGCCCCGCGAGCCCCAACGGCCGCCCCGCGGAGGCGGCGCGCGCAAATGCCGCTTCCGCGTGCGGGCGGGAGGCCGCCCCGCGCCTGCGCGCTGCCGTTGCAGCCGTTGCTGCGGAGGTTGGGGCGCGCGTTGGGGAGGAGCTCAGCCGTGTGGCCGCCTCGTCTGTTCCCCTGAGCACCCCTGGCTGCCCACGGCCCGAGAGGCGGCCGCGTTGCCTTTCTGCCGCCTCCATTAATGCGGCTGCGGTGCGGCGCCGGGAGCCGGGATCGCGCGGCCGAGAAGCGGCTCCGCGCGGCCCGGCCCGGCTCCATTTCGGAGTCCTGCGCGGGGGAGGCAGCCGGCGCAGCGCTCCTTAACTAAGAAGAAACAAAAAACAACCCCCAACAACCCCTAATTTTTTAATGTTTTTAGCGTTCTGCCACTTGCCATATTTTGTCTTGGCTTGTGAGTGCACTCTAAAGCACTTATATCAGCTTCCTTACACGTAAAATTCCACATTTGCCCACAGCAGGAATATGGTACAATGAAAATCAGAGTTTAGGAAGAGGAAATTGCCATAGAGAAATTAATTTCCTGGTATTTACACTTTTACTGGATGTCTTTCCAAAAATTCTGCTATTGGATTTTGGCTGCATATTGTATTTCAAGCTTCAATTGTGGCTGATTGAAAAGTACATACTTGCTGCTTCCCAGCATTACGTGCTTCATGTTAAAACCGAGTATTTTTGAGGGGGAGATATTCACCAAAAACTGCGCACTTGCATATTTAGCAGTTACTTGCCCTGCAGTCTGTTTGCTGAATTTGCCAGTTTCAGCTGGAAGCATTGCAGGGGTTGCAGGGTGTCCGGCTCGTGCCAATCCCAGGCAGGAATCTGCTTTAGGAGCACTCAGTTATTAGCAAAATGGGAGCAGATCTTGGCACACAGAAGCCTTGGAGAGCCGTTAAACTGGTGGGCTGTTTGAGAGACAAAAGAAATTTCTGTTTGTGTGCACACTGCAACTCTTTTAATTTCCATTAAGACTGCTTCACTTTGCATAATAATACAGTGGCATATAGGAGGAGGAGCCCAGTTGCAGAAGCCARCTGGATGTCAGAGCTGGATAATCAGTTTTTCTTTATCACTACAGGTCATTTTTGAGACTTTATATAATAAGCTGGACTTCTTGAACAGAAGGGAAAAGAGCTTTCTCCCTTAACTTTGCACATAACAGCATTAAGTCTTAAAAATGCTGTTTAAGATATATGCGAGATGGGGTATGAGGATGCCAGTTGCCACTCTAATAATTTCATGCTCCCTCTTCTGCTGTTCTACTCTAAAACAGGAAAGATTGATAACCTGATCCTTTTTTTTTTTTTTTTTTTTTTTAATATTCTTTAGTATCTAGGGCACTTTCTAAGAAGGTTATATCAGTTTATCCTGTGTTGGGCCCAAGATACCTTCTGGAAACAATAGGGATGGAAACTGATAAAATCACTTAGACTGAGACAAAAGTGTAAAAAAGAAATAATAATAAAAAAGCATGTGTGGAGATGTTCACTTCTAAGTTCAGGGGCTAGAAATGTTTTTAGTTGTGAGGACCTGTTGTGATACACTCTCAGTTTTCCTCTCAAGATTATTTGAGAATCTTCTGTAAATTCTTTCGGTGGAATGTATTCTTCTATCTCAGATTCRTTAAGGAAACTGTTTATTATCAGAACAGAATTAATTGCATTTTATTTCACAGCATCACAGAACGGTTAAGGTTGGAAGGGACCTTTACAGATCACCTAGTCCAACCSCCCTGCTCCAGCAGGGACACCCAGAGCACRGGGCACAGGGCGACATCCAGGTGGGTTTGGAAGACCTCCAGAGAAGGAAACCCTATAGCCTCTCTGGGCAGCCTGTTCCAGGGCTCTGTCACCCTCACAGTGAAGAAGAAGAAGAAGATCCTCACATGCAGATGGAACTGCCTGTGTTTCSACTTGTACCATTACATCTTGTCCTATCACTGGCCACCAGGGGGAGGGGTCTGGCCCCATCCTCCCTGCATTCTCCCCTCAGGTACTTACACATATTGATCAGATCCCCTCTCAATCTTCTCTAGGCTAAACAGGCCCAGTTCGCTTAGTCTTTCCTCATACGATAGATACTTCAGTCCCTTAAAGATCTTTGTTAGTTTAAAAACATTAGCTAAAAAAAAAGCAATTTGTTGGTCTATTAAATTCTTTTCTTTGTCTGCTTTGACAGCCTATTTATGGACCAATCTTTTATTCCCTTCTGAAGTCCATAGAAGCTGCATGGCTGACCCTAATGACTGTCTGCATTCTTAAGAATGAAAGGTGGGTAATGCAATTCTAAAGGGTCATGAAATTAATAAAAGAGAAAAGCTGCCTTAGCTRTTGTTATATACAACATGACTGTATGACATTGCCTGAACTGGAAAAGGAATTGATTTTTCATATCCATAATTTAACATCTTGAAACTAAGTGCAAAGTTCTTTAGAGAATTAAAGTTTTCTTCAAAAAATGTGTTTGGCTTCAGATTTGATAAGTAGGTTGCTTAACCTGATTTATTATGCACTGTAGACTCTCATGCAGGAAAGAAGCAGTCTTATTAAAGTTGTAAATCTGTTGTTCCTGTAAAATGCTGCTTTTATTTATACTAGCTATCAGGAGACACTTTTAGAAAATGTTAGGAGATAAAAACTAATAGAACTACTGGGACTGAAGCTGCTTGAATCTGTTACACATGAAGATACAAATAGCATAAAGAAGAGTGTGGAGTGAGGCATAATCATGCATAAAATATGAATTAATTAGAAATAGGTATTTGCATATGTGCATATATATACAGACACATATATAAGCACTTTTTTCCATTACTTGCCATGCATTAGGTTTACAGAGTCTCTAAGACAGTATAAACTGGGGTCAGAAGATGTATATGTGTATCTTTCATATTCATGGTGTTACCCTGATCTCAAATATAACTTCACCACGTCTTCATCTTCAGTAGCAGGGAGTTATTTCAAGAATTTCATTGTTACTTAATATTTGCACAGCAGCAACAATGACAGGCAGTGAATCTAGGGTCTTTTTATCTAACATGCTGTGTAGCCCAACAGATGGCCTTACCAGCTGAAAACTAATAGCAAAGTGGAGAACAAAGCTAGGGACTGAGAGGGACAGTGGCAAGCTAGTCTTGGTCAGGCAGGAACAGTCCTGTGCTCTGCTGTCAGTGGGTTAMTGACACTATGGCACATGATGAGTTTTGAGATGGGATAAGCAAGCCTCTGAGGTGTTGACTAAATGAAGAAGAGTGTACTGCTAAAAAGTAGATCTGATGGACATAGTAGGGCTAACTATTGAAGGGACTAATAGATTTAAGTATGAGAAGTTGGAGCAAAACAATGGGGATTGTGAAGGGGTGTGAGGGAGTCAGCAGTCAACTAGATGATGGCTCTGCCAGCAGTGCTTTATAATAAGGCAAGAAAGCCTTGGTGGTTGGCATCAGTGCCAGGAAAGAGAGGAYAAGAGTTTGATTGCACAGTGGTGGGAACCTTACCAAGATGCAGGTAGCCTTAGAAAGCTAAAGTCAAATACCTGAAAATTCTTGGAAGAAAGGGCAATAAGAGGCACTGCCTGCAGAAGGCAGTCGGAGGACCCCTTCACATGCCACGTTTGTAGCTCATTGGACTAAAATTTTGAGGTGAAACACTTCTCATGCAAGTCTCTTCTGCAATTACCTGGTCTTAACTGTAAGCTATACCTTTGAGATTTTCTTGTTGAGTTGGAAGGTAAAATTTAATTTTAACTATTACTAATAATGTCAGTAATATTAGTAATTATAAYAATGATACTGTGTGTGACATTAAATGCATTATATTTGTAAGATTAAATGCATTAAGTGTGTAAGATGTCAGAGATGCTGATTTTTTTAAAGTACACAGGAGAAAGACTTTAGAATATAGCTAATATATGGTGTTCAAACTCTGAAAAAGGAAGCCTGCTTGACTTGTAATATATGAGAACTCTTTTTTGTCTGTTGTTTTGTTATCTTGCTCTTTTTTAAACAGTATCTTTTTTTGATGTCTTTTTTTTTTTGATTGTTGTTATCTTGATTTTTGAGTCTAGAATGTTTCCTTACATGAAAAGTAATTCTGGTTAATATATTTATTAGCAGACAAGAAATTCTGGCTGGAGATTTGCCAGCGAAGTAGAACTCCTGAGAGCTCCTGTGAGTTTCGTGAGAAGGATCTGTCACCCTTCTCACAAAACTCACCCTTGCAGATGTTGTTTGCAGTCCCCCAAGATGCAGGACTGCACTAGGAGGAACTGCCTATTGYTCTGTGCATCCTGCTTGCAAGTGGTGTGGTCAGAACCTGCCCCATCTTCCAGAAGGTGCAAGGGGTACAGCCGTGTTGCGCAGAGCCACTAAATACCAGGCTTCGCTCTTCTGTGGCTGTGTTTATGTTTTCAGTTATTTATACAGGCATGAATCTTTGCTCCAAAGTTGCTCCAAATCTTTGCTCCATAGCTGTAGTCTTCAAACTAAGTCTCGCAGAGTTGGTTGAGATRTACATTAGGGACAGTACTCAGCCTCAGCATCAGTTATCATGCTTTTAGGCATCAAATGGAACTCCAAGAATGCTTTTTTGCTTCCAGTAAATACAAAGATTAGTTCTTACACCTTTGCCTCGGTAGAACAGTTATGCTATTTTATGTAGCACTAAAAGGTTTCTAAAATTACTTAATAAAATCAATGATGCAGTTTCCTGCTTTTGTCTTTATGGTCAAAACTAATCAACACATCAGAGAAGTTAATACCTTCATTTCTTTTATGTTGTGTGACAAAAAAAGGGTAAAAACCGAAAAGCCCTCACCTTGTCAACAATAAACGCCTTAATGCTTCTTCTATCAATAATCCTGATAGGATTGTTGCTTTTATTTTCAGTACTGGCTGCAACTACTGAAAAATAATAATATCAAAAAAAAAAAAAAAAAGAAAAAAACCTCTCTAACTTTTTACCTTCTTTCCACTGTCTTCCTGATCTTTTTTGGTCTGGTCACAGTTTCATAACGCAGACAGGATGTGGAGTCAGTGGAAGTACCTGCTTCCCACTGAATGATGTCAGCTTTCCTTGAGGAAACCGCAGAGGATGGGCTTGGGTCAAGGAGTCTTTACTCTCCTACCACCTACTCTTCTGAGCTGGCAGAATGCCTTGGGGAAGCACTTCTCAGAAGAAATGAAGAATGAAACAGTATGTTWTAAGAAAATTTTGAGGAAATTCATGTCTGTAAACACTGCCTTGGACAATACAAACTAATAA